TTTCAATGATAAAAGAATCAAGAGGAGATCACCTATGGTGTTCTCTTATTATTATATGTTGTATGTTAATAAATAAAAAAATTAAAAAAAAAATACTCTTTAAAATAGAAATTAAGAACAACCATGAAACGGAATATGAAATAATATTATATATTGCCCATGTTTATCGATGTTTGAATCTGTTTGACTAAATTCTRGTGCGGTCTATTTGCATGTTTTGATTTTTATTTGGCGCGCTTCAGGGGCGTTTAGCCGCTGCAGCAGAAGGAACAAAATGATTGTTGTATTGAGCGCAAATGAAATATCGGCGAAGGTGATCTCAAAGYAAGTGAAAAGATGTAAAACTCGTTTACATGTCAAATCAGGTCGTTACCAATGTATGTTCTTTTCTTTCTCATCTTTAGATTTAAGGACCTTCGAGGGCATTGCTACTGCGCACTCTTTCTGCGCACGCCAAAAACGGAAGTTGTCACGAAATTTGCATCAAGCAAAACAAAGATGGCGACCGCTCTTTTTATGTGTTTGTGAGGTTTTGTACGTACTTTTCTGAACTTTGTATGCAAAATGTCTTCACGTTCAAAACATGGGAGATTTACTACTGTACTGCTAAAGAATTGATGAGCCGAAGAAGTGTTCAAAATGCTCTAAAAAGTCGTAGATTAGCAGAAAAAAGTTCATATTGTAGGACGTCAAATTAAGGTCCAAATCCGACAAATTTCAAGGCAGAAAAAAGTCTCTCGCAATTCAAGATGGTAACCCCAATTTCTATTTATCTTAAAAGAAGGCTACTTGGAAAAAATATAACATATGTGAAAGCGGAGAAAAACGACATCAGAGGTTTCTGAAATATAGCAGTTTTAGCTGGAAATGACACCTCTTGTTGACGTCGAATGTGGCGGCTTGACACCGAAAAAAATCCTAAAGGAATCAAAAATCACATCATGTAATGTTTCAAAGTCTCGTAAACAATATTAACAATTATCGACCTTGGCTTTTGTGGAAAAATTTGGATCAATTGATATGTGTTTTATATTTTTTGGGAACTTTTTTGACAGACGGCATCGAACACTTTTCGCGCGCTTTTCGTTGACAATTTTGGTGATTTTGTGCAAGAATTATCTCTGAAATGAAGCCGGTGACCTCCACTTTTTTATCGCTTTTTTGCAAGTTTATATCATCGCGTATTTCTCCAAAACATTTCATCTAAGTGACATCACGGAGTCCATTGCCCACGAACGTCCTTAAGAAAAATAATTTTGACAGTATCTTAATTGGACATTCCGAAACTCAAAAAGGGAMTTGGGACTAGTCACAAACTTGCAGTTTGAAGCATGCAATAAAGAATTTTAGCATCAATTAAATTACCATTTAAATTCTCGCGCGCTCTGTTTAGAGTATGTCAGTAAGAGCACATTTACACTGTGCTTGCACCATCACCCCTCGCGAGGGCTCAATTGAAAGGAAAGAATGATTTTTCACTAATTATTAGTCTTATGAGACTTGAAATGTGATAAGATCAAATCGCACACGGTTTTGCGTTTTATGTGCTCTTATTGACACACTCTTGGCGTCTCAAAATGTTGCACCATTATGCTTTGCGCGCCTCTGTTGTTATGATTTACACTAAAATTCTTCTAGTATACAAATATCACCATAATACGAATGTCAGATGGTTTAAAACTCTAATATTAGCGTTAAAAGTGCTTAGAAAAGTGAGATGGTCAAAGATTCTTATAGACTTTCGGCAAACTGAAAATGGCCGCCTCCATGCACTCGCCGCCCTCAAAGCATAATGGTGCACACTGGGCCTTTAACAATGCCCTACTCATAATGTGTACAAGTCTGGACTGATGGGATTCAAATTTTCAAGAAGCTAGAAATAAAACCCCCTCTTGTTGAGCTTTGTTGATATGATATATATTCACCTTTTCAGTTGCTCTTAGGCCTCGACAGCGTGTTAAATATTCTTTTGAATTTGTAGGAATGTGAGCAATGCAAACATTGATGTGAATAGTCTCATTTGTCAAATTCAAAAGAATAATTAACTTGCTATCGAGGCCTAAGTGCAACTGAAAAGGTGTATTAGTTGCACATGCATGTATACATTGATGTATTGGAAGACGTTAATATCAATAAATACCAAGAGTCAAAATTGTAATTTTTATTTTCTGCATTCCTTTTATATTTCAATTTTATACTACACGAAACTCTGTAAAAATCATGATATTATAAGATATGTATACTTGCAATAGAGCGTCATCTGAATCAATATTACTGATGATGAATCGTAAATTAAATTGAGTGATGAATTGCAGCATTGATCTAGTCTTCATCACGTTTATTATAATAACAGTCGCACGTTAGGAGCTAGACTAAAAATTACACAACACAAAATAAAAGATAGTCCCTATAGATAGTCCCTATAGATAGTCCCTATAGATAGTCCCTATAGATAGTACCTATAGATAGTACCTATAGATAGTCCCTATAGATAGTCCCTATAGATTCATTCAAGGATTCAAATCTTTGATTCTCGATAACATGATTTATTTTGTATTTTGTGACATCGTATTAAAATGTGCCACACCAGATACAAACTATTTATATGGTACGATTAACCTTGATTACACCAACWGGTCATCTTCCAACACCAGTTCATTTGCACAGAGTTTGGCRTTCCTAACAATAATTATTTTGTCACGAAATACCAGCAGTTTTTGCAGTGCAATTGTTGGTCACAATCCATTGCTAGTCGCGAAATTCAGATCCTGTTGTTGTGTTGTTTCACACACATTTCCATGCTATATCTTGAAAGATAAACACGATGTAGCTAATGATCRCACGACAATCGCTCTKCACAAATTTCCAGAGTAACCTGAAACTCCAAGAGTTGATAACGATGACAATAAATGACGACGACACTAAATTCGACTCGAATAATGTTCATAAATAAATACACCAAATCTCAGCTACTATTTTGTTAATCCCTAACATGTCAATATTTCAATCAGTATGCAGATATAATAATCTTTATCTTAAATATTACAAATAGTTTTACAATYGCTTGAACAGGCCACGTGGGCGTCCTTCACTTTACTTGCGCCTGCGTTCAATTTCGGTCAGCACACGATATAAGCGACCACGTCGTCTTGGTARGTATGCATCATCACCTGGTAATAAAACAAACTATCAGAATTGATTGATCTTTAGAAAAAGAAAAAAAAATATGATCACTTTGCAAAGTGAACAAATATGCAATGACGTCATTTACATATGAAGTCCTTCCACAAGAATCTGAATATTTTTGAAAGCGAAGGTCCTCGTCTGATTTTAAAGAAATATCGTCTGGTGGTGACGTTTTTAAATCTYATTCACCTGTCTATGAAAAAACATTCTTAATGAAGAAAACGGCAAAGAATTCTAACATGAGCTGTCACGCGGGATGGAGGAAAAATATTGGATACTTACTACTTGGTACAAAAAAGTTTTGTCGTTTGAGTTCTGCATGCTGKCTGCTCAATGGTATGTTATTTCGACATGCATATAACGTGCAATCTTGTCCTAATCATGCAATCAATACTACCTCATTAGTATGCACGACCAACTTGTAAAAACSATGTCATTGAGAAAAGAACAAACTGCTGAAAAATGAACTTTTAAAGTCAGTGTGAAAGAATTCAGGAAAAAAACAAGACTTATCAATTGTCGATTTGCATTATGGCGTCATTTACTACAACTACCAGAATGCTTTGCCAACTTTATTTTGTAATTCAATCAGTGCCGATTGTTTTATTAATCTCACTCCAAGGGGATTAAAAATCTGAATAACAATGAAAATGCGCAAGGCACTCTAGTAGTTGTAGTAAAGTTACGCCATAATGCAAATGGCCTATTGAGCGACAATCTCTATTTTGTGGTCTCGCAGCTTTTAGTAAAAGGCATTGTGGTTGGCTAACCGGAACAATAGGCTCGTTCTTTCTTTCTCTCTGTATTGAGGCAACCAATTAAAAGCAATATTCTTAGGAGATGCGATCTCACAATCTCACTTTCTACTCAGTAATGAATTCATTTCTCAATCAACTGTTATGTTCTTTCTCCCTATGACGTCATCATTATTACAAGTAGGTGCCAGGATTGACAAACACTAAACTATTCACATCCACTGTGAACAAAATCGATGTCCACGGCATGCATGTAGGTTTGGAAACCCTTTTAAAATATTATTAATTCATATTTAACTGGATGAGTTCTCATTCCCAAAGTATGTGACATTTGATGTGATACTGTAGAATCYCTTGAAATCTAGTCTTCCATACATTTACCGTCTGTACGACGCGAATCAGGAATAATGTCTTCCATTGAATAATAAATAATCATAATACGATGGTGAAAGAGTTACATAGAATTACACGCAATTTTTGTTATAAATTTGCCCGCTTAATCTCTCCATGAATAAGAGAAGCAATTTAAGAAAWGAGCTCAACTGTTTCGTAAGGTTTTCCGAAACTCGAAAAAAAYCTGGGTCTGTCTTGKTCGTACAAATGCTGTCTCACACGTTGGAAAACCTATAATGAAAACCTCTTTGTTTGAAATTGCCTCTCAAATTCATTTTTGAATTCATTTTTGAAAGAACTAGATCTTTACCTTTTTTGCTTGCAGATGAGCAAATTCTTTGCTTGATATCTTCAAGCAACGATTGTTTAAAGTCATATGATGTTTTCACCACGTGATCAGAAGCAGGTTCAGAAGCAATGGCTTCCAGTTCTTTACCAATCACACCCTCTCCGACACCAACTACAAAGATCTCTACTCCACGACGTTTGAGTTCATTAGCAGGTGATGTGACGTCGTCATAGGATACTCCATCGGTTATGAGAAGCAATACATTCTGTTTGCCAGATGGGATTCTTGAGAAAAGATGCTCTTGCGCAAAGTTTAATACTTTACCTAAGGATAGTGACATATCATTTTCAGCAAGAGTTTCAATTTTTTTGGTACCGTTTCCTGAAGTTTTGGATTTTTCGGAGATGAAACTTTTGTGGGCCAGTCCAAAACCTCAGCTAATTTACTCCTTTTCCTCCGACTAAGGATTAACGTCCGACACGTCAGTAATTTATTTCACCTATTTTTTTATCACCTAAACGTTGTCACCCTGTAGATGACCGCGCGCTTAGTGCGAACATTCCGGCAAATAAAGTTCAATTTGCCACGATTGGTGTAAATAAATTATGCAGTTTTTTTAGTKGTCTATAAAAAATGTTAAACCCTTAAAGCAATAGAAACTATGAAAAAAAAAATAACTGAAATACCTGTTTTTATTTCCATATTTAGGTAGCTTGCACTGTCAATAGCTTTGTCCATAGTATTGGGGTCCAACGAATGATCAAAATGTACAACCTTMAGCTTTGGTGACCCACTATATACCATCATACCCACTCGGTTGCCTTCAGGGGAGACTGGAAACATGTGAGTCAATTTCTTGGCGAAAAACAGCAGTTTCTTAGCGTTGTCGTCTTCGCCATAAGCAGTTGTCTTGCTGTCAAGTACCACGCCTAGATTAACACTGCAACCTGGGAAATCAGAAATTAGAAAAAAGACTTGCCTTTATTCCAAGTAGAGACACATATATCTATAACTAAATAACATTGATGGATAATATTTACGCACTGACTGGTAAAGCAAACAAAACATCATCGAGACGAAGATTCTCATTGACTAACACATAATAACTGCAATATGCAATGCCGCTAATTCCATGACTGARTTTAGCCATTAATAATCAATTACTRCAAAAACGTTCCTTCGTGCGTRKTATATATTCCTGCATTAGAGTTTGAAGGAATAATACACACTACTCTCCTAATGCTCCCATTAGGGAGCCATCACTACGTCAAAGGCGTATCAAGTGGGGTCACTGGATGCCCACCTTCATAAGTCTAGAAATTGACCCGCTGTTTCTTAATTTTTTACTTTTTTGTTTCAATTATTTTTTTCGTTGTACGTTGTTTTGTTTACATTTTTCAAACACCTTTTATTATCCACCTGTATCTTTTGTTTTAAAACAAAACATTACTATAACATTATATGACGTCACATAGTGGACTATTTCGCATTGACCAATTCTGAATACTCCCTTTGCATATGAATAAATATTAGAGATAATAAACTCCTATTCATGGATACGTTTATTACCTTTTGATACGATAGTTTCCTTGATTCCCGATATCCTGCTTCCTTCAGCTTGACCGGCCATAAAAGTGCCATCGGGATGTCGAGTCATTTGAGGTGGGTGCTGTTCAGAGTCCTTTCCTTTCTGTTCTTGCTCATTTGCTCTACTTTTCTCTTCTTGTTTAGGTGGTGTCTTTGACGTGGGATTAGGAATTTCTACTTGTGAYGATGTTGTTTTATCTTTAGAATCCTCTGACGGTTTGCCTTGTGACTCTTGTTGTTGYTGTTTTTCGCTAGGTTTAACTTTGGGAGGAAAAGAACTCTCAGTTGCTTCCATAACTTTTTCTTGTGGTTTAGATTCTTTGCTCTCAATTCTATTTGGTGTTGGCTCTTGAGTTGGACGATTGTCTTCCGATGGTCGAGCCACACCTCCTTGCGGGTTTGAGTTACCAGGATTATTCTGACGACCTCTTGAAGATTGTTCTCTTGACTTCATGAGTTTCGAATAACCATTGTCTAATATTGTTATCTGTGGTGTACCTGAGTCTGTTTCAGGAGGCTCACTTTGAGTCTTCATATTTTCATTTGATGTTTTTATTTGCTCTAAYGCAGCCGGAATTTCTATTGGTCCATTTTGCTCACCTGATGGSCCCTGATTATTAATATTTATTGAGTTATCGGCATTGCTATCCTTTTTAGGGACYGCCTTTTCATTTCTTGTACCTTGAGGTTCAGGTAGGTCAACCTTCTCATCAGTCTTAATCCTCTCGCTCATATCAGTTTTGGGATTTTCTTTTGGAGATGAACCTGACCCTTCGCGATYAGGTTGGGAAGGTCTTTCTTGGAGACTTTGGCCAGTCTGCTTATTCTGCTCTTTATTTTCAACARCTGTAGAGCTATTTTCTTTTCGTTCATCTTTTGAGTCTATTTTGACTGTTTCTCTATTTGGCTCTGATGACTGGGGACTCACATGGGTTGTTGATCCAATGGCTTCACCGTTATTTTCACCTTTGTGATCAACCTTATGCCCACCATTATCTTTCCCACCATCACCACTGGGAACAGCGTTTTCGTCGCCATTATTGCTAGATTTCGCATCAGTTCTTGTTTTATTTTGTAGAGTCTTATCATCAGACCCCTCTCTAGGTCCRTTAGGAGGTTCTTCTTTGCCTTCCTTTGACTTTCCGAGTTCTGAGAGAACATCAGTAGATTTGTCTTTTGAATTTTTTACTTTATTCGCCCCACATATACACTGCTTGTCTTTGTTATAAAGTTTCCCATCGATATCTGAAAAAAATCAAATGTTCATTCAACCTGATGACTACAAAATGAGAGGAACTATTGTTAAAATAAARAAAATTGTTATTTTCATTTGTCTCACTCTCGTAATTTTTCATTATTCGTTTATTCTTTAGCGTTGGTGGATCCAGGAACCAAGGGGTGGTAGCCAAYTGAATCCACCCCTTTTGGCCTTMACAAATCTAAAAAGTGTATCTATCAGTTCAAATGAAGGTGGTTYATGACCTAAAGATTATACATGTTCTATCTAGCTACACCACTGATCCAYTCCATACCTGAACAAACTCCTTTGACAATGTCGTCCATTATGTCTGGTAAAGTGTCCAGGAATGCTGTAAAGACGTGACTGGACTTTGGCTCTGAAGAAATGTCAATCAGTTCCTTGACGTTTGCCAATTTACCAAGGCCAATGGTAGTCAACTATAAGGAAAATGTCATTATTTGATATGGTTATAGAGTGCAAAATAAACCGCTAGCMGCAAGTTATACCATAAGATAGGAAATCGGAATGCCCATCGTGACCAATGTGAATTACAAAGTTAAATCGGCCGCAAACCATTAATTAACCAACAATTCCTTATAAATCGGTCGATGGAATAATCAATAGTAATAATAATGCAATGTGTAGTCAACTATCTATCGATATAGTTTAGTCGACTACTGTATCTAGTCTTTTTATGGTCATTGCATTTAGCTTTAGAGTGAGGCCCATAACGCACTATTTTATCAGTTTACCTTTGTTAATTAAAGTTGATTATATTATTAATCAAGACTAACGCARAAATACAACGTTTCCACTTCGTCGAGATGTCATTATCAAGTGATTTAAAATAATAATACAATAATAATAGTCACACATGTTTTTCTGTAAAAAAGTGGTCACATTGGACAGTAAATAACTCGATAATGACATCTCGATAATGTCGAAACGTTGTATTTTTGCGTTAGTCTTTATTCTTAGCTTTATATCAGAGTATCCTTATTCTATTCTATTGTATTAGGTGAAACCTAATATACATTATATATGTTAATTAGTCATGTATAAACAGCGTGTGCTATACCTTTATTAGTTATGTATAAACAGCGTGTGCTATACCTTTATTAGTTATGTATAAACAGCGTGTGCTATACCTTTATTCCCGACTTCCTCAAATCCTCAGCTGCTTGAATTGTATCGTCAGATGAGCTRCCGCTGGTCAAAAGAATCAAGGCATGYTTTGCATCTGTCCGACCAAAAGTCTTAAAAAGACCATTCTGGACTTTTGTTAGAGCGTTACCGGTCCGGGGATCACCTCCCATGTAAGTCATTGAGTCAATGCTGTCATCGATCTCGTGTAGGTTTTGTACTGGACTGAAATTGTTGAAAGCTGAAGCAGCGTCATCACCATAGGCAACCAGATTTACCTGAAATGGCGGCAAAAATGTTTACTTTCTATTGTTACTYACGACTCTTTGATAGATATAGTGCACTCAATACTTCGAACAAAATAATTGCTAGATTTTTTCAATTCCTTATTTCGTTTMAATTGTTATAAATACTCTATATTCATCAGCAATAAGTACTGTTTGCCTCACTGATTAAGTGCGCGCACTCTTTATATTATCTATTACACCAAAAATGGAACAAAACGAAAAGGAGCGAGGTTCGAGGAAAAAAAAACAAYATACATTTTTCAAAAACATCGCTTTATAAATTTAACAATCCAGCGATTTAGACTAAGCGCAACTTTAGGCYYGAGGGAGAGCCTAATTTTCAATCTACCTGTGTGTCCTTTGAGCTGAATCCTCTTGTTAATGCTTTCATAAAGTCGAGSACATGCGTGAAATAGACTTGTGGAATATCAGATGAGCCATCAACAAGGAAAGCTATATCCGCCTTGGCATCGCACACTGAATAACAATACTGATTAATACAATAATAATAGCTATATTTTCACCTGAGCTATAAAAAGTTCTGACTAGTGCCGAGTTACAGAATTAATGTGACTTTCGATTAAATTTAACCTTTTCARAAATGATACTATGCAAGGATGAATTTCACTCCACAATTCATTAGTCATTCATGTGTGTCCGTCTAGTGAATTAACTTTTAAAAGTCAACAATAAGTAGTAAACTTAAAAGTCAGTCGAGTAAAGTTATCCTTGTATATGTCCTCTGTAAAATTCAGTGATTTGGATAAAGTRAAGCTTGAGGCAGCAGTGAATAGTTTATTGATAATCGTAATGAAAACGCGTAGACTCGTTTCCACTGGATACGGTAGATAATTRCTCTCGGTGGTTTCTGGTAAATAACAAKGCTAAAACTCGATCTTCAATATGTCCAGATATGTGTRAGAGTTGTCTCTRGAGCCTGCTCCATAGCCATCGCTGACATGCATATTATCAATTGTGATACAAAGTGAACCAAAAATAATCCCTTCTATTGCTAACCTTTCTTAGGACAAAAGCATTCTTCGCTGTGAGAAGGTGATTGTTCAGTTTGCTGAGGTTCGCTAGGGTTAAAATTTCTGTTCATATGATTCATCTCYGCCATCGGCCCCATGGGTGTGTTCGGTTGAACAGCATTACCTGATACCGCAGGCTCGCCTGAAAAAAATTATTTAATGGATACATTATTATTGAATGAATTTAATGAAAAAATTATTTAATGGATACATTATTATTGAATGAATTTAATGCAGTGCTTTAACAGCCAAAGAAGGAATTTTCGAAATAGGTTGGCAGAAAGGACATGCATGATTGGAACTTCCAACAACCTTTGTTGAAATATTGAATGTACTGCATATTATCAATAAGAGTGTATTTGGCTTCACCATTCGCTCTTCCTATCGCCCTATGTCAGCATAAATAATGGTTCTTACCATTGTAAGTTTCCTGTGCAACACTTGGATCGATATCTTGAGGATTTTCAGGTAAGCTTAATTGTTCGTGAGATTTGAGGCTTTCTGATTGGTGCATTGATGGCACGACGTAAGGATTTCGCTGATCTTCAGGTTCATCAATAAATTGAAAAGGCTCAGAGCCTGCAGGGTGGACATGATGACTAGCTTCCTGAGGGCCAAATCCTACACTGTCACTTTGTGCACTGCTGGGCTTTGCAGAATCTCCTTCTTGCATCTTTGAATCTGTTGCCTTTAAATCAATCAACAAATACTGTCAATAAAAAATTTCTTTCAGACAGCTGTTCTGCTGGTAATGATTGACCGATTTTTTGTTTACTGATATGGTAAAAATTCACAGAAATTCAGAGATTCTCAAATCATCTTTCGCGCTTTTTTGATACCTTTCCTTTCTCAATACGCTGTCCATTGTCACTYCCCTCTTTTGGAATTGGCATTGCTTCGCTCTGCATTTTCGGTGTATCGACAGAGGGTTCCCTTGGTTTTTCATTTGGTACAGAAGAACTATCTTTGTGTGGATCCTCTTTAGAAGCTTGTGTATCAGGCTGACTATCAGAGCCCTGACGGTTCTCAGCAGCTTTAGGTAGAACAATCAGGCTACCTTCTTTAATGACAGGTGGTTTATTCTCGCTAGTAGAGGGTTTTGGTTTGTCCGATTGTCCCGATTGCTCTGCTGTAGGTGCCGAAGGCGTGGTTGAAAGTCTGSWTGGTCGAGCGGTGTTTCCTGACTCTGCTTCGTCAATGAGAACAGCTGAATMAAGTGAAATAAATTGTTTTAATATATAGAAATAATCAGTCTTTCTGGATATGCTCGTCGGGAAAAAGTTGATTATAAAGAGACCCTACACCATGATAAGCCCGGAATCSTACAAAAATCATTTGAACTCAAGACCTGCATGAAATTATCTCTTCTCTTCTTTAAAATAATATCTTTTACAGTCAGCAGTCAGCAGCATACTGAGCTACAAAATGATTTTTTCCAGGAAATTTGTATGAAATTTTTGTGAAATAGCTCTTCAGGTCTATGTGCTATACTGCATGTGCTGTATTTAGGTTTACTATGACTTACTTGGACATTCCTTGTCTTTACATATCTCCCCTTCTACACTAGGTCCCAATCCACTGCAGTCTTTACCACCATTTGACGGAGGAGGATTGGAGCAGGTACGCATACGCCGTCTTACTCCATGGTCACATGTCTTACTGCACGTGGTCCATCGTGACCATGGACTGAAGCCGCCATTTATCGGAAGTGTTGTGAATCTGTTGGTTAAACGATTGAATGAAGAAATAGACCAGAAACTAATGGATTTTTRGAGGAAAAAARGGAATCAGAAAAATTCCCTTGCATAAAAAAAAACAATTRTCACTGAAAATAGTCAAGATCGCGCAATTTCTCCTAATCAAAATRACKTTAGGTTCTKTTAAGCACTATTTATCAATCTTTAGCTTCAATCTAAACATTCCTTGCTTCGCTATCACGGATGCAAAAGATAGTTTGTCTGACACTGCCATTGCAGTGACATCTTGTTAAATTTAACAGGCCTTGTATCCTCGCGAATACCACATCCATGTGATACAAAGAATGGAAAATTATAATAATTGAAATAAACGCGAAAAAAATTGAAGTACATGAAGTCAATTGATGTGGTGATCGCAAAGCTTGTATGTGCATTCAAATTATATAGGAAGGAGATCAGTAAGAGAACTAACCAGTAAAATTGGAAAAATTCAATCTAAAATCTTACTTGTAAGCCTGTAAGCTCCATGGCCCACCTTTACCATCCCCTGTACAAAATAGAATGTTGAATACGTGAGTATTCGCATCATAGCAACACTCATATTGAATATCAAATGGATGTTTACACTAAATAGTGCGGTAGTGTTTCGGTTTTATGGATGGATCGATATTAAACCCATGAAGGAATAATATGCTGGTCTGTGAATAACAGCTTTTGTAAAACATTCTATAAACATTGCATTCGTTGTAAAGTAGCCACACAGAGGATAAGGTCTCGAAACATGTCTTGATATAACATTAAAAATAGCGTTATAAAGTATATCCACATTATTATTAAACAAGATGAACATATAAAATAACGAAATCAAAACCAATATCATTCATTATAATATAGATGCGATACTACGAACGCTCTGATTGGTCCAAGTGTGTGATTTATTTCGCCGGTAAATGGACGCTGCGCTYGTTATTTTTTAGGCATTTTTTCGTGTTTTCAAAGCATCCCCGCGTACTTTATTTTACCGATAAACTCACATCAATGCATCCTTTATTGCTTAAATAAAATTTACTGAATTATGTTATTATGAATAAATATGAGTGACATACGCCTGCATTCGACAGCTGTCCCATATTTGTTCAGACTGCGTTCATCCTCGGCACCAAAGCACTGTCCACCATTCTCAATGCCAAATACTTTCAAATGTTTGTCCATAGCTGCGCGTGCRCACTTCAATAAAGCAAACTTTCTTGCTTTGTAGTTTGGCTCCATTAAAAGTTGATGCTCGCCTTCTAGGGCTGGGATAACCCGATTCCAGGCATCACGAAAACATCCGACGCTTGTAAATTCTGTTGTA